TGCGTGAAAGTTGAGTTCTGATGGAGAAAATTGCGAATTAGCGTCAGAATTTCGATTTTTCCCAGTAGAGTCTACCTTCTCAGCAACGAAAAAGAACTTTTGAAAAATCGCTTCGTAACTTTGTAGCTGAGGTTCTGGCACATCTAGCGAGGTGCGAATATTGGCTCTAGCACCTTTCTAGAAAATGGAATTAGGATTGAAGAACTGGGGAACGCGTTTGAGCGGCATACGTTCGGACGTCCATGGCGGACGAGTGTTTGCCTCTAAAACAAACTGAAAACCTTTTTCTAAATCAGTTTTTAACACTGATTCAGAAAAAAACATATAGTTTGAACCTTCTAACTTGCAATACAACTTCGAAAAGTCAATTTCATTATAGAGGTCGATTTTTCCCGTTTTTGAGACCCTCTCAGTATTTTGACCTTTCTTCGTGAAGAAATGGTTGGGAAGGCAACAGAAAAGTCATGGATCGTGAAATGAAAGTGATACTCCTACTCCTCATCCACTCATTTAAGGAAATCATAAACACTAAAAATGTCTTTTTAATGCTTTAGCGCTGTAATATGTAAAAGACGATTTTCGAAATTAACCTGTTACAAATATTCTCTTCGACAGTTTACCTATCCAAAATCACTCATGTTTTATCTAATACTCTTCCATCTTCTGAATTGCTCTTGGACAGGAATCTATCCACCAGCTCAACAATTACCACTAAAAGCATTGTACGATCTGCAAAATAAACAAAACTTACAATAACACTGTAACTGAACATTGTATTCTCTCTAACGTGTATAACACTAAGCTTTTATTTTGTTGTGTCATGAAGAAACATTTCTAGTAAAACATCACCAAACAAAACGCACATTACAGGAATCATACTAATCATAGCCATCACAATAAGGATATCATTACACATCCGTTTATTTGCTTGAAACATCCCGCATCAGAGTGATCGACGAGGAAGAGTGACAGGGATCATACAATTTTTTTTAAAGTGGTGCGTGTTAGAAGATAGTGGTTTTATTTAAAAGAGCTACGTGCTCTTTTCCATCATTATATGTCTATTTTATTATCAATTAATTGAACAGTTACTCGTACGATCAACATTGTACAAACAACTTTTTGTATCAACCTTTATCGTTAAATTAATAATAATTGTTGCTACTGGTAGAACAGAACTGGGTGTTGTTTTGTGAAGCTGTTAGCGGGGCCTAATTAGCACCACAAATTGGAGGTTTTACCCAGATTCTGGTATAACATTAATCTGTACAACCAGAACCACTAGCAACATCGCCCTTATTATTAGTCGACACCATCATCAATTTATCTATTTGTTACATCAACTCCTCTCAATTCTTATTAGTGATTTGGTAACATCCCACTGAACATGTTTTTATCATTCTGGTAAGATTTTTCCAAGCTGTTACGAAGGCTGTGGCGTGATAGGAAACCTTTAGTCGACATTTCGCTTTCTGCATTTGACATGTCGCGATAATCTGGCGACGACGTTGAAAGTTGCACAGACTCAGCAACAGCCTTCCTCTCACCCTCAACTAACTGCAGCACGAGTTCTAATGACTGTTTCTACGGAGGTCCCTTTAGCTGCCGGTCATCGGAATTCTAATGCTTCGTCGTCTGCACCGTAAATACATTCTTCTAATTTCGATATTTATCGGTATGCCAAATCTTTACCACCCGATGAAGGAAATCCACAGAAAAACAGTGGAATTCTAGAAGAATGCTTATCGTGTCATCGTTCTAAAGAACATTCATCGCTTTTTATTACAAAAAGTGGCTCTAGCACGCAAACTGAGATTTTGCATTAATACATCTGCTAAAGTCTCTGTCCAAGAATCAAAACTTGTTTCAGAACGAAAGACGAGAAAGAAAGTTCCTGTTAAGCCGCAGAAATAGCACAGAAGATCACCATCTACTGATCAATCTATTTCTTCTCTTAGAACAGAAGTTGACGTTAAGTCTAAAACAAAAATAAAACAAAAATCTAAGAAAAACCGCCATCAGAAATCTTCTGCACTATCCTTATCATCTTCAAATAGTTCCTTAACAGGAAGTGACGCTATACATTCAGATAAAAGTGAATTTTTAGAAGTTCACAAGAAAAGTAAAACTTTGAAAAATTTTCTAATTCTTCTTCTTCACGATCAACTGTTCTCACTTCACCGGCAACTTTGCAAGTTACCATTAATGATTCAATTACTCATTTCAGTGGTAAAGCAAATGAGCAGCCTAATAAGTTCTTGCATGAGTACCAACAGAAAATGCGAACGTTATTTCAGGCTAGTGATTCGCAACTGCTGCGAAATATTAGTAATTGGCTCACAGGTGCGGCTGGTGACTGGTATTTACAGCTTTCTCAAGGTCATCATTTGTCGAATACGTGGCATGAGTTTAAAAAGTTGTTCTTGTCTCGTTTTCGTAGTCCTGAAAGAATAGAGGCTTTGAAAATTGAACATAGCCGTTGCGTTCGAAAAGAAAAGAAAACAGCAGCTGATTTCTATCAGAGATATTTGGGACTAAATTTGGAAATTAATCCAAAAATCAAAGAAAATTTACTAAAAAATACTTTCTTCGAAAACTGAGACCAGAACTTGTTCTTTGGATGAGGGTGATCCGGCAAAGATGTCCTTGGACGCATAGACGGCGCAAGTTAAAGTTCCTAGGGGTAGCAATAAATTTTTTAAACTCATAATTTTGATAAATAATAACAACTCCCAGTTCCCACTTCTTCTAACAACTCCCAGAATATGTGTTATTAGGGGCAGCAATAACTTTCTATAGCTACCTCTAATTTTCTATAGGGGTAGCAATTGCTACCCCTCGCTACTATGGCGCGCCGCCTATGCTTGGACGAGATCCTCGAAAAGGTCGAAGAGCTGAGATACAGTTATTGTGTCGAAGAAACTTAGATGCAGTTATCGTATCGAAGAGAAGAAGAAATCCAGAGATCGCTGCCTGATAGATCGCGATAGGGATGAAGGAAATCTGCAGGAATTAGCGGCATCGTTAACTCGGCAGTTGGTGCAATTAAAAACACCAGAGAGAACAGCTTTTGTCGCTAATCTTGACGCATCTTCATCCCCATCAACAAATTCTTCTGATCAAGAGACTCAGACACCTAAATCTCCTGTTTTTCCAACTAACGATAGAAATCGACTACCTTTTCCTCAAAATCGGCAAACAAACTTTTATGGACGAAATAATGATAATAATAATAATGGCGGAGGTCAGAATAGTAACAATAACAGTTTTCGTGTGCCATTTTCTTCTAATAAGTCTGTCAATTTTAACCGTTCAAATCCATCAGCGGCAAGTTGTAGTAGAGAACCACCAGGACCATGTCCAATTTTTCGTAAAAATGGACATTGGAGAAGAGATTGTAGAGTTCCTTCCACTATTTGCAGAAAAACTGGACACAACGCAAATTATTGTTTCCAACAAAGAAGCAATTCTCAGCGTAGTCCATCGGCCGCACCTACTTTTTCCGACGATGATTCACAAAATCTGCAGAATTCTAATCATTTAAACTGAAAAGGGAGCAGCTGATTGAGGATAAGCTGACATCTCATACTATTCACAAGTCCTCAATTGAACAGTCCAAAGAGCAGGAAAAAATCGAAGCCTTGAAATCGTTATCGCGGTTTCTAAAGTCATGATGGAGAAGAGGTCTCTCGACCTATTATCGATTCTGCATCGTCGCCATTTTCTTCTTCTTTGTTAGAAATGTCGGAAACTCCGTCACCGCCTAAATCAGCGGCTTTTCAACAAAAAGTGAAGACTAATTTAACACTTATTGAGAAATTATCCGCAGAAAAATCACCTAACTCTAGTTCTTCTCAAGCAGAGTCTTCATCTTCTTCGTCATCTGTATCTGATAAGATGATTGTTTCGTTATCAACTCGGAAAACGACAATATCTGATCAAAATCATGATTTATCAGATAATCTCAAGCGTGAAAACACCAGAAATTATAAGAAACAACAGAGAAAACTAGAGAAGAAGGAAAAAGCTACAACTGGAAAGGATTCTCTCTTTAAAACCGAATCTAAAGGCTTTACTGCTACGGTTTTGAAATTAGAAACCAAAATAAAAGAATGCCACTTCTTCTAATACTTCAACTTGTTTCCATACCATCCAAAGAGGTTGTGCATCCGCCACCTCTAGCCACCTGAAGCTATTCTGGAGCTGATATTGTAGGTCCAGTAGGCAGTTCTATTGAACCAGTCGGCTGGGTCGAAGCTGATATTACCTTGGCAGGACAAACTTTTAGACATTCGGTTGTTCTTGCTTGCAAATTCAATCAAAGAGCCTTGTTCGAAATAGGTTTAGTTGCAGATGTACAGGATGGAAAATGCTGGTTGAGAGATAAATCGTTGTCTAAATTTTTGCTAGCTACTAATCTTCAGCAGGCAGATCGATTGAACATACCCGTCTACGTTGTTCATAAAAAAAGAATTCCACTTTTTCATCAAACTTTCATCGTGGTACAAACACCGTTGGATATTAGCGGGACAAAAGTGGGAAGCCACTACCATTTCTGCGAGTTCTCGAATTTCCATTGTCAACAGTATCGTTACTGTTGAAAAGAATATCGCTAATGTTAAGGTTGCTGATCTGACATCACGATGGAGTTATATTTCGTCCTGGACAGAAACTCGCTTTCCTTGACCCTTTTTCTTCTGGTTCTAGTCTGCAAACATCTGATGGATCACTTCAAGAACATCAAGATACATGTACATTTATTACACAGGAATCATCGATGCCTGATCCGAAAGAAGGACAATCTAATTCATCTAATTCTGCCGATAACTGTTCTAAAGACACTTCATCTACTACATGTATTAACAGTCCAGAATTAGTAACATCATTATTTATAGGAAAGAGAAAATTTGACAATTACATTGAAAAGATTAGACGACGATTGCTAAGTCAAGATCCAACCGCACGTCGAATTGAAGAGGAGAAAATCAAGATTCGAAAAGATGCTGGCGTTTTCCGTACCATCTAAACCTAAAGATGCACGAGCAATCTTGGATCTTCCGGTTTATTATAGGCGTTTTATCAAAAATTACGCTGAGATTGCTGAACCTCTTTTTGAATCGATCAGAGAAAAACATAATCCTGTTTTTGTATTCACTTCTGATCGACAGCGGGCCTTTGAACTATTAAAAGAACGCCTTATTTCCGCACCAATTGCCACATATCCGAATTTTGATCATCCATTTATGCTTCAGTTGGATGCATGTGACTATGGACTCGGTGCCGTTCTTGCTCAAAATACTGAAGGCAATGAACATGTCATAGACTATGCCAGCAAGACCCTGCAGCCTTGTGAAAGAAAATATTCTGCACCTGAACGTGAATGTTTAGGCATCGTCTAGGGCACTTAACATTTTAGGTCTTATCTCGAAGGACGGTCTTTTGAAGTCTGGACCGATCAGAGGTCCTGGACTTGGTTGAAAAATATAAAAAATCCAACCAACCGTCTGGCCAGATGGCCCATGAAACTTGATACCTATGACATGGTCATTAAGCATCAACCAGGAAGGGCCAACTCAAATATCGATACTCTGTCACGGTATCCTCTCAAAGCTGAGATATAGGTGTCTTGCAGAATAATGGTATTATGATAGGTCCTTTAGAAGAAAATCAGGAGACTACAGCTAATCTTTGGGACATTTGCAGTATTTTAGATGACATAAAACTGGCGCAACGACAAGACAAAGATTTTGGTCCTCTTATTTCTTTCATTCAAGACGATATTCGTCCTACTGATGAAATTCTCCTTCGAAAAATAGAAGGACAGGCTAAAGTTCATCGAGTAGTCGATGGAAAATTATATCTGATTCGTAAAATAGTACTTTTATAAGATAATAGGTAATTTAAAATACTTTTATTTTTTGGTGAATCTCTTGAATATTTGTAGGTGTTGTGGGTGTGGATATACTTTCTTCCAGTCGGTAAAAGCAGGAAAGATTGAAGATTTACGAAGGAATAGTAAACAACTCACAGTTTTTCGGATATTGTCATAGAATCGCTTGACAATCGGCATCACTTTTTCTATACGTTGTAATCATTTTTCCATATCTCGAATTGTTGCACGCAAGACCAAACAACCTGAACAATTGCCATGTATCGAATCTAAAATGAAGTTATTATGGCATACAAGAACTGTTAGTAATTCACTTACTTTATACTTCATTTGGAAAACATTTTTTTTTGTATGGATGTTTTTTTCGATTTGACAATTTTGAGATCAGGTCGTCGTCATTTTTCAGTAATTGAACTGGCTTTTTTGTTGTCATCTGATGTTCTGCAGTGCGCGAATAAGAACGCATGAGAAAGCTTCTGACCGTCGTTTTCATCTTCTAAGTCACTGCCACAGACAGAACTGTCGGTGAAGCCTTTCCGTTTTTTTTGTATATTCGTCCTTGGAGTGGAATATATACGATCAAACAAGACATTAAATTTTCTGAAAGTAAAAGAACAGAGTTATGTGTTTAGAGTGATATAGCATTACCAAACTCATATCAGATAAAGGCATTTTATTCGAAGTGTTTATATTATCACTGAACGGAGTCGAAGTACTTGGAGAATGATCATTTTGTACCGCTTTTAATCGATAATTTTTCGATGCTGCTAGTCTTTGATCCAAAAAATATTCCGTATCCTTTTCTTCATAATCCTTTTCATTTTCTTCTTTGTCAAAGCCGTCCAACATGACTTCTTCACTGCCAGTTTGTTCAGCAAATTCGGTTTTTTTATATTCGCTTCGTTTTTCGAACCTAAAAAATGAAGGAGCCGTTTTATTTTGCTGTTTCTCTCTATTAAATACTTTCAGCACCCCCACCGACTTTTTCCTGGTTACGTCACTAGCTGAAAGGCTAGGGTCTAAAGATGGATCGCTTTATTACGATTATAAAATGACTCCTATAACTGATTCAGCCGACGGTATCATTTTACGGGCGTAATTATATCATTCGGATGAGATAAAAGTGACTAATATATGTCTCACAAATGAGGTAAAAATGATGTATTTATGATCATCGAAAACGAGCGTTTATCGACTATACAATTAATGATCTAAAATGACTCAGTAATGTTGATGTATATCTTTATTGATTCTGATAAAGAAAAGGTCAGCGGTCAAAGACCATTATGGACCTAACAATAATAAAGATGTTGTCCGTATGTGCTCACAGAAGGGAATTATGGATAAGAAAAAAAAGAGTAACAATATAAAAAACTAAGAAGTCAGGCCAGACGACAAGGAAAGGATGAATATCATGAAATTGGAAACTGACAACTACTATGTCTGCAGTTATTCAAATCTGTTCGTTTGCTGAATATACAAGAGGACTGCATCCAGTATACATGTTAAGATATCATGATCAAAGTTTAAACCATTCAGTAACAAGGTGTCAACTGAGAATGCAGGCATAAAAGAAAGTTTCAGTGAAAGATCTTGTCGTTGAGTATCATATAGGGAACAGTGCAAAAAATAATGCTGGCTATCCTCCCTATTATTTCCGCAATTACATTTAGGTGAATCCGTATAACTACGTCGGTGGAGATAGTAATTTAGCGGTGGAAAATTTGCTTTTATCCGCATGTAGATCACTTCCTCCCGTCGCGTAGAAAACCTTAACTTTTTAGAAAGAACACCCGTTGACATATACTGACCTTTTAAAGTATCGCGTAATTTAGATATTTTCATAGTTGATAAATTCGTGTCATTCAA